TCTCTCGACCGTAGTCAGAGTTCCTGGCTAACGCCTGACTGGAATCATGAGAAATGATCCAATCCGGATCATTTCATCTGACCATTCATCCTACCGTCACGACCATTCGCCAACGGTCGTGACCATTCACGGGACACTCGACCAGTATCGCGTTGCCATGGTCAATCCTCCGATACGGCTTCCAGATTCCACCGATGTCCGGCTGGAATACTTCCCATGTGCCTACTCATGATTTCTCACGGTCTTAGACACGTTCTCTCGGATATAATTCTGCTTCTCTCGGTAATAACCACACTTCACCCGATCATAGTCCGTTTCATCCGACCATCCTCGAGAGATCTCACGACCCTCGGTAAGGATCCCTCGGCAATCCGATTGTCCCGAATAATCTCTCGGATGAAACTCTTCCCTTCGGTCGTTCTCTCGGCACGATATGATTTCCCCCGGCTATCCTCTTAGTATAGCCGTCTTCTCTAGGTGATAGTCACGGTATAACCATTTCTCTCGATCATATTTACGATCCGATCCTCGGATCTCTCGTGTGTCCCGACTATCACCGCGAGACTGCCGGGTAATCTTCTTCCCTCCCAGATGTCTCTCCTTTCACTCAGACGAACATCCATCGCCTGGACTTTCTCTTGGATATGGTCAGCATATAACCGTTTCTCCTGGTGATAGTCACGAACCTATCCGACGAACCCACACGTCATCCGGCTATCACCGCGAGACTGTCGGCTAATCCTCTCCTCTTTCGGATATTCCTCCTTTCTCTCGGGCGAACATTCATCGCTCGGAGTTTCTCTCGGATATAGTCACAGATTAACCGTTTCTCTCGGATATAGTCGCGAACCAATCATCCTATCATTCGCATCACCCGACTATATCTGCGAGACATCGGACTACCACCGTGTTACATCCGGTAAATCTTGTCCCTTGTCGGATATCTCTCCTTTCTCTCGGATATGGTAACGGTATAACCGCTTCTCCCGGATGTGGTCACAGATTGATCCATCGATCCTGCACATCATCCGACTACCATCGGGAGACATCCGACCATTCTTATTTACTCCTTGGATAACTTGCCTTTCTCTCGGTTAAGTTTCCATTCTCTCGGATAATTTCCCTTATCCTGATCTTCCCTCGGACATGGTCACGGTAATAACCGCTTCTCTCGGATATAGTCTCGAATTGATCAACCGATCATTCGCATCCCCTGACTATCATCGCGAGACGCCGACCATTCCTCTTTATCCCTCGGCGATTCCCGTTTATCCCGATCATCCCTCGGCGATTCTCGTTTATCCCGATCATCTCTCGGAGATTCTCTCTTTCTCCCGGATGTTCTTCAATTTCTCTCGGGTAAATCCCCATTCTCCCGGATGATCTCCGATTCTCTCCTGGATAAAATCCATTATCCCGTTCTTCACTCGGCGATTCCCATTTATCCCGATCATCTCTCAGACATTCTCTACTTCTCCCGGACCATCTTTAATTCCCTCGGATGATCACCATTTTCTCTCGGATAAATCCCCTTTCTCTCGGACAATACCGAACTTCTCTCGGATATGGTCGGAGCACTCCGGCGCTGACTGGACTGGAATCCGGACATCACATTTTCTCTCGGCTATCTTGGGGATAAATCGCCTTAGGCGTGAGAGATGTCATTTTCCACGAAAATACATCTCTTTTATAGCCTATGGGCGGTTTCCTTTGCCCCAAACCGTCCATCCTTCATACCCCAATCTCAGCCATTGATTCTTTCAATGGTCAGGATTACACTCCTTGGATCACGGGCAGTTATTTGGCCATAACCACTTTTGGCCAAGCTCCACCAGCCACAGCTGACTTACTACTGCCCCAGTCACACTTTAGCTCAGTACCTAGCTGGTCAGTCCGCCCAGCTGGGTCAGTACTCGATCAGCTGGATGAGCTAGGTTGAGCTGCCGGTCAGCTAGTCCAGCTAGTTCAGCTAGTAGTCAGCTGGTTCAGCTAATAGTCAGCTGGTCCAGCTAGTAGTGAGCTACTTCAGCTCGTTCAGCTCTACTATCCCTGCCAGCTCGACTATACAGACTCATCCATTTTGTCCGACAAAGTCCTTCAGACTTGTTTCTCGACCTTGCTTAAGTCGTTTCCTTAACTTGTTCACGATCAGCCCCCTTTGATCTGAACTAAGTTATCCTTTTCCTCGATACAAACCGGCCCACTATTCCGAGCAGGTTCCGGGCCGTTACAGGTAAAGGGTAGAGTTTAGGAAATGGTAGACTTAGGGGTTCACTTTTGGGTTTAGAAGTGCTTAGGATTCATCTTTGGGTAGAAGTGAGTTTTGATTTGCATGCATAAGTATGCTTTTACCTTTAGCATTTTGCCTAAGATGAAGTCCTTTTCATTGAGTGATCCATTATGTTTAATAACCCTTTGCTAAAATAGGATCATTTTTATCTCATGACCTTACCCTATCAACCAAATGTCTTCACTTGATTTGCATAAGCATGATTCATAGTTCTGATTTTAATTGAATGTTAAAGAGTTGGTTGATTTAAGCATTTGCCTAAGTTGAGATCTGAGATCATTTTGAAACATGATGAGCATGGCTAGGTTCTTTAAAGTATGGCTGATTATGTTTGCATCCTACAACTAGGCACCCAAGCATTGATACCATCTCTTTACCTTTGCACTTTTAGAATCTAAATGCCCACTTTCAAACCTCACTCTCCCATTTGTTCTTAATTGCTTGAGGACAAGCAAAAGGCAAGTGTGGGAGTGTTGATATCCCTTGTATTTACACCATTTAGGACTGTATTTAGTACATGTTTTAGTTTTCTTTTGCATGTTTTTCCTTAGTTTTTGCCCTATTTTCTTCTCCTTTTAGACTTAGGTTGCATTTAGGGTATAGTTTGCATTTTCCTTGCATTTTGAATGTTTTTAGGTGCCTTTGGAGCTAAAAGGAGCTTGTAGGAGCTTTGGGGATGATTCAGGATGCTAGCTGGATCAAAGGGAGCAAGAAAGATCAAAGCAGACAATCTCTGCATAGGTTTTTGGTCAGAGCACGGTGAACATCGGTCAAGGGGTGATTGATACCAGATTTTTGGTCACCAGCATCAATCATAAGGTGACCGATACGAGCACATCGATCACCAGCATCGGTCAGAAGTGATCGACATAAACCCAGCGGATGAATTTCGGTCACCACATCGGTCACTGCCCAGAGCGATGGGAATTACATCGATCAACTCTGACTGTTGTAACTGACCGATGTAAACCCAATTTGAACATGTTTTATTTACACTCTTGCCATTACTCTAGGGCTTCCTTCTCTAAGCTATAAATAACCTCCTTTTCTAGATTTTTGACATGTCTTATCAATTTACTGTTCTTAAACATTTTCTTTGAGTTTGTAAGACAAATCTTTTGCTTTGTTTAATATAATTAAGTATTTGCCTTTAATATTTCTTTATTCTCTCTTTTAATCATGATTAACATCATTTTCCTTTGTGATTAGGTGTCAAACATGAGTATGAGTGAGTAGTTTGCTTAGAGTTTCTAGATGTGGTAGATTAGGAGAATTTAGGACTTGATTAAGGTTTGTTTAGTACTTCAGTTTATGGGTTCCTCTCTATTAATCTATTCTTAATGCTAGATTTGTCTTGATCACATTTATCTAGGTTGTTAGCTTTCTCTTATACCCACCAAGTGTTTGATGAAATGCTGATCTTGTTTAATAGAGGATTTGCTGGCCTTGGCTCAAGAGATTGACTGTTTGAGGAGCATTTTGACTTGCATAGAGTTGTTATCTAATGCTTGCTTGATGTTTTAGCACTAATGAGAGTTACTTCTTGTTAAGATGTTTAGCAAAGGGCTATTTTACAAGAGATTGGATCTAGCTTGCTTGATTGTGAACTCTATGTCTAGGGATCACCATTGCTTGCTTATTTGCTTGACCAATGTAGTTTAAAACAGTCTTAGTTAGTGTCTGAAATTCCCCAGAGTCAATAACCACATCTAGGAACTTGCTTTTCTCTTATTTGAATTTCGGATTTGCTCTGTTTTACTTACTTAGTTTTGCTTAGTTTGCTTTTATCTTTCCTCTCTTTGGTGCTTGATCATATTAGGATATTAGATTGGTTGCTTTGGCAACAAAAACCCTTTTCTGCTTGCTTGACTTAGAGATTTTTACTCTCAACTCTTCTGTCTTCAACTAAAACCCATTTGGATTGATAAAAACCCTATGCTATACTACAACTGACTAGTACAATGGGTGATTGACCAAGAGAGTCAAAAATCTTGTATCAGTGCTCCTCTCTGTTTTACTGCTCCTCCTCTTTCATTGGGATGTTTAACTGGCGGTTTGCTTTTTTGATCTGGCCAGCGGGTATGCTGCTTTCCCCAGATCTGAGCTCTGCCGCCCTAGACTTTCCATGAAGCTCCCATTGGTGTTGTAGAACCTCCCTCTTCCACCTGAGATGTTGGATCTACCGGCTCCTCCGCCTCCCCTCACCGCGCATCCTCTGCCACCTTCCTTCCCGCCCCCCCCCCCCCCCCCCCCCCCCCCCCCCCCCCCCCCCCCCCCCCCCCCGGAGCTTCTGGTCTGCAGCTTCAACACCAGCTCGTTCACTGCCGCTAGTAAAACTTTCCTTTGTGGTAAGCTTCGCCGGTCCGGTGAACGTTATCACCTCTCTCAGCGCTGCTAATTTTAAGAGTCCACCTTCCTTGCTTGGAAGACCTTTTATCGACGAGTTTTCTAGGCTTTTATTCTGCCATGCTGCCAACCGGAGTTACTCTCATCTTCTTTGACTGTCGTATTTGGGCCTAGATCTTCTGGACCATGTATTGGGTTTACTCTACAAGCTTAGCCCAACAAGGGTTCTTATTGCTACATTCTTGGTCGACCTAGACCATTCATCTCTTGCTTTTGGCATGTCACTTTCCACCCAATGGGAGAGACCCTTACCACTGTCCTCCTCCTCCTTTGAGGGTAGACATGTCTGTTCACCTCCACCTTCTCAGCCCTTGGTTCCTTTTACTGCTCCACCGGCTGAGTATCCTTCCTCCATGGGGCTATTGTGCTCTGTCCGCCTGCTTTCAGTCCTATTCCTTGCTAGTGAAGGGATAACGAGACAATATGTTCTCGTTGATTTCATTCCCATCTTGGTCCAGCATTGTATCATTTGGGGTCTGGCGTTCATCATGACTGTAACCAGCTCTGTCCTTAATCTTCTAGCATCAAAGTTGCTTGATTTTATGTTAAGGATTTCCTCCTTTGGGGAGCGAATTCGGCTACCCTCTTGCGTCTCCCTTGGAGACGGCTTCTTTCCGGTTCCAACACCTTAGAATATCTGCAATCTTCTCAGAGATTTATCTTCTTGTGTAGCGGTCTGTACAGGGCTTGAAGAAACATCCAGATTTGTTTATATAAATTTTGGAGGCAGGAGTTGTGTGTCAACGTCACAAGTTAATGTGACTATTGGTTACCTATCTGACACTGCCGAGAAATCTTCAGAGATGCATCTAAGCTTTGCTTTGGATTCGATGTCGGTCTTTTGGAAAGAATTATCTGATGATCTACCTATTTTTTGCTTTTTTGTAGTGTTTCAGGAGGATGTCTAATTCCCTCCTGTAGTTCGAAAATTTAGTTTATAAATGAAGCAAATGGTTGAACAAAACAATATCATTATAAATTTATTTATTTTTATTTAGTGATACAATTTTTTTTGTATAAATCTTAAATATCCTAAATATTAATACATAAAAATATTAAATGATTAAAAAAAGAAAAATACAATACTAAAAATAATTTACAAAAGTTATCGAGTAGTTTGATTTTGCTACAACATATCTGCAATGTTGTCTCTTATTTGCGCCATATGTTCTCTATATGCTACTTCAGCTGTGTCTGTGTCACATACATCAGGTTCTGAATCTCTGTTGTTTATTCTTATCTCTGTCATTACATATGCGAAATCTGCATCTGAAAAATTTGAAATTTTGATAAAGTGATGTAATCTCATTGTTGTCATTACCACTTTCTTTTGAATGTTTATACCATATCTTGGAAAACCCGAAAGAATCCTCCTTTTTTCTTCCAAACTTCTCTCATTTACAGAACGTAATGACGCATGATATCGATTGAACAGCTCATGTTTATTCCTATGAACAGGACCTGAGTTGAACTGAGACATACGATATCTCACAACTCCATTTCATAATGATCTGTATGGAGCTAAAAATCCTTATTTTTTGGATAACAAGAATCAACGAGATAATATTTCTCTAATGGAGGCAAAGGGAAGTCAGGGTCTCTTTGTCGTGCCATTGCCAGAACAGCAGTATCATGACATGATCCCGGTGACCCATTTCAAATATATGTGAATAATATATTCATATCACATATTGCCATGATGTTTAAAGATGCATGATCATGTCGATTCCAATACATTCTTTGTAACTCAGATTTCACTTTTACACATATATGCCTCTCATCCATAGCTCCAACGAATCCGCTAAAAACAGATAATATGTTTGATCTACGAATCTTTCAGAAATCTGGTGTAGCTCTTCTCTTGTTGGAGTTCTAATATAATCACGTGCTAGTTAGTTTATGATTAGTCATTTTTTTATCACATAAAACTTAATATTCAAAACATCTTTTATTTTTAATTACCAAAACAAGAATGATAAAATATGAATATCATAAACTAAGTTTCGTCTTCTAAACCACTTTTATAATATTCATTTATATTTATATTTGTTCTTCTTCACTTCCTTGTGCTCTCACGTTGATGTAAGAACTTCAATAAATTTTCTTTGCACAGTCTCATTGAACTTTATTGTGCCCACATATCTGTAGAAATATAGCAACACTTTCTTCAACGCTTATATTTAATGTTGGTTGTAGTCCATAATTTGTTTGAAGCGTATCACACAATATTGTGAAACATGGAAATGACATTCACAATAACTGAACATAAGCAGCATCATCTTGTTGTAGTCGATGCCAAATATTTCTCCATCTCAAATCTCCTTCAATTTGTACTGGTACTCTTTCAAAATATCTCTAATAGTAAGTGAGTGTTGGTGGAATTACTAACTCTGTAAATTGCTCATTTTCTAAATTTCACAATTCAATTCTCTCTGTGTAACTTAGGTTCTGCAATCTTTGTGCTCTCAACTGACATATACGAAAAACCTGAAATTGTAAACAAAAATGAAAACACATCATTAAGCAAATATAAATTTATATTAAACAGTAACAGAAAATATTAAAACTTACTATTCAAAACATCTTTTGTTTTTTATTACCGAAATGAGAATGATAAAACATGACTATCATAAACTAATTTTTTTCTTCTGAATCACTTTTATGACATTCATTTATATTTATATTTGTTCTTGTCGAACTTCTCCGTGTGTTGAATAGACCTCCAGGTGTAGGCATTGGTGATTTACGGGCACGCTCATAATAATTTCCTAAAACTGCAGAATCTGAAATGTCTTGTTAAGGATTTCTCATACTTTTTCTTCACTTCCAACTGAAAATTCATATTAAACATTGGTCGGAGTTATTCCTGGTGACCCCCCCCCTTGCTGATAATTTTGTGTCTATTTTGGTGGAAACCCCCATTGTGAATTCTTTGGTGGTGTGGCCCATTGTGGAGCATTTAGTGGTGTGTCCCACTGTGGAGCATTCAGTGGTGTGCCCTATTTTTGAGCTTTCAGTGGTTTGCGCCATTGTTGAGCATTTGGTGGTATGCCCTAAAGTTGAGCAGTTGGTGGTGATCCTAATTATGGAGCAGCTTGGGATAACCACATTGTTAAGTATTTGGTGGTGTGTCCCATTGTTGACCATTTGCTGCCCATAATCCTCATGTGCTGTTACCCACTGAGGATGGTTGTCAGATGATAGTCCTCCTGAATGTGGACTCCCATATAATGGTCCCGAGCCTAACAGTTTTGGAACATCTTTGTTGTTTTGGGAAACACCAGTCATTGCTTCTAACAGTTATAGCTTATCCTCGTCACTGTTTCCAGCTATATCAATAAAATATTCTCGCCAAAAATACTAACTCTTTCAGTGTATTAAGGCATACCTAATAAAATTTGCCTTTTAGAATTTTTAAATCAAGGAATATGACTTCTGCTTTTTTTCACTCGTCGTAGTCATTTTGGTCAAAAGCACCTAGGCAAAGTTGTTGCAAACTTTGTCGTTGAAACTCTGTACATCCAGCTATGGTGTCTTGTATAGTTGTTTCAAACGATTGTCTTCTCCGATCTCTTCATGAACCACCACCAGTAGAAGGTCGTGACGTGCCACCAAATCTTCCTGAAGTACTACCATGTCTAGCGTTTGTCTGCAAGTTTAACCTTGATCGTTGTTGGCCTCTCCGAGCAGGATTTTGGACCGCTTCATTGACATGGTGTGTATCATCATCAACTGTTACACGATATATGCCTTCCTCTTCTTTCGTCTCAAAAACTTGTGTTTTAAGCATGCCACCACTATCAGTGTCAGAGCCATAAAGGCTGTCTTCACGCTCGTTTATCAACTCTCTTCTTCTTTGGCCCGCAGAATGTGTGAGACTGTGATTAGACATCATGTAATACGAAACATCGCACCATCACATCCCAAAAATCTGGGGGTTGTCGGTTGAAAACCTTTGTTATTTTGCATCCCTATAAATTTAGAGGCATCAATTATTTGGTACCTAGATTTAAATACATATTTTCATGATTATAAAGTGTGTATACTTAGCAATTCATGCTCTTTCCACCATGCGTCAGATGCATAGATCATGGATATCTCAGGACCCACTGAAATACCAGTAAAACTCATCAGAGCTTTCCATCTCTTGTTATTTTATTTTTTTAATTCATCAAACTTGTTCTTAAAATAACCATAAGTTATATTCATGTTGAACGCACTGTTGAACTTCTCAACCATATACTCTCTTCCAAAAGGATTAGGATTCTTAGTAGTGTAATTATTCATCACCATTGCTTCATCAAACAATTCTATTAAGGTTTTTCATAATGTACGACCATTTGTATTTCTCTTTGTCTTTGTTCTAAAATTTTCAAAATTATTATATTAATTATTTTATTAAATTTATATAAAAAACGTTTTTAAAAAAATATATAAATATTTAGCCTTATGGTTGTTTCACTGAGAAGAGTTAATATTTTTCCAGGATTCAAATTATTTTGCTACAAAGAAGTTATACCTCATTGACAATTAGACACCATATCTATTGTTAATAAAATTAAACAGCAAATTTAGTTTGTTAGAAACTAGCAATAAATGTCAATACAATCTATAAAATTATTTTTTATGCTTTGCACAAATCAAATAATTTTTTAACATAAAATTACATATCCATATTAAATATACTGTATAATACTACTTCTACTAAGTATATTAATTTATTTATAATTTGATGAAAATATAAGTTATTATAATAATAAATTTTAAATTTAAGTACAACCATTGTTATGTTATAAGAAAACATATAAACAAATACAAGTAATTCTTAAAATGTTTTGATGTAAAAATAACTTACATATTTACAAATTATAGTTTAACAAAATAATACAGAAATTAATTTAATATAAAATTACATTTGAATAATAATAACTTTGAATTTCTTAAATATTGTATAAATATAAATTTACATATAATTAACATAATGAATCAAAAATACCTGAATTTAGTGAACAATTTCAGGGATATCACTTCCTCTTTTGAGAGGTACGTCTCTAGCTTATGTTTCAATGACGGATAAGGTGGAGTGTTATTTGAGTGAATCAAAAGAATGAGCAATTATGTTCTTATATAGTTTTATTAACTAATAAAATAATTAAATTTAAAATTAATAAATATAAATAACATAATTGATCCACATTGGACCATAGCAATTTGGAGTATGGGAAGTTTTAAAGTGCAGTCCTTTCTTTACTTCTGCAATTCCGTTTATATATATATATATATATATATATATATATATATATATATATTTTTTAAAACATGAATTATTAGTAATTTTTTTATTGGCAGTTAATATACAGTTCTTGAAATACGCACATATAAAGAAATATTTACTAAAAAAGCACTTTAGAGAAAGTCATTGCAAAATTAGGCACTTTGGTTGTTAACTAAGGACATGATGTGACAAATTTGTCCTTAATGAGACTTTTATCGATTGACCCTTTTACTCAGGATTACTAGTTCTTTGTGTGAGGTTAAATTGAGAGTTTGCGACAGTCTAAATCGATGCGCCGCCGTGGTGTAACCGGCGGGTTAAATTAGACGGGAAGAAACGCAATTCTAACGGTTAGGGAAGAGAGCATAGGTACGAGACTTAAACTTGTATGATCACTAGGTATTAACGGTGATGAATGTTCTTTAAGCCTCGCATGGTGGGAGAATCTATGTTGTTTGTTTCTGGATATGTTTTATGCTCGTCGATTAACACATTGGTGGTCTTGGGGAATCAATCGGTAGCAAAAAAATGTGTAGGTAATCGAGTGTCCCACTCATTGTTGTGGTCAAGCCCTGCACGAGATATATTTGAAGCATAGTAGTTAGTAGGATTGTGTGTATCAAATGGATGTTGCAGGGAAGCCTAATAAGTGAAATGGATCGATGTTTAAAATTATTATACATATGGATGACATAGATGGATGTCCTATATGGATGCTTTGTAGAGATGTACAGTATACAATGCCTATATGGATGCACCAGATGGATGCATTAGATGCAAAATAGTGGGTGGGACATGAAAATAAGACATATTAAGAACTATATGAACAATAAATTGATACAAAATGGTTGGGCTTTAACATGGTGGATGTTCGTAGATGGATGTGTTTAATGGATACTTTGTATGGATGCTCTACAGAGATGTCCAATATAAGATGCTTATATGGATGCACTAGATGGATGCAGTAGATGCAATATGGTGGATGGGGGATGAAAATGAGACAAATTAAGAACTATATAAACAATATATCGATACAAAATGCCTGAGCTTTAACACGATGGATGGGCTTGGTGGATGGGATATAGCGGATTCTTAAAAGTTTTCGGGTAGGAGAAAATGGCATGAATAACATCGAACCCAATAAGCAATCAGTAAGAGCCCACTCTGATGGATGAGTTATAGTGGATTGGTATAAGATGGTTTATCTGCCATTCCGATGTGAACTTGGTAGAAATCTCTACTTCATGGAATTTCTGACCGTCGTAGACAGTGGCGAACTCTCTACGACTTTGGGTGCGTGAGCAGGCGTTTGTCCCATTCATCTCTCATCATCGTCCTGTCTGATTGTTGGCTTCGTTGAGTGGTGATGTGTTCTCACAGGCGGATTCCAAAACCCAATGGATCAGAGCGGTTTCTGAGTGGATTGCAGATCTGGGTTCTTTTAGCTTCAATAGATTGGGAGCTATTTGGAATTTCTTCAAGATTTGCTTTCCTTATGCTTATTAATGGAGAGGATGTTCTTGCTATTCAATCCATCAGTCTCACGGGTTTTTCATTTGAATCAGTGTTTTGGCTTCAATTTTGTGTTTTTTTTTTGTTTTTTTTTTTGTTGATTTTCAGTTGTATTAGTCTTTGGTCCTTATGCTTCGAGGTTCTTTCTTTTCCCATGTAAGTCAGACTCGGTTGACGGAAACAGAATCCTCAAAAACCGAAACCGTTAACCAAAATTGATTTACTATATGGTTGCTTGTTGACAAAAAAGAATGAAGACATATGCATAGCAAATTTATATATGAGAAATTTATGGAAGAAGACATTTTCATAGTCTAATATTACAAAATAACTCACTTAATGACACAAGCACACTTTCAACTAAAGAAAAATCTACTTTTTTTTTCTTTTTCATCTAATAATACTAAAAGTTCAAAAGGATACAAGATGAAATACAAGGGAGATATGCATCTATTTCTACTGATTTGACAAAGAAATGGAAATCCTAGAAACAGAAACGGAATCCTTGGGAAACAGGCTGGAAGAGATTAATCATTATCATTTAAGTAAACCATACACGTACAACTTCCAAACCGAAATCCTAGTAGCCGCATGGTTGGGCAACATCGACAACACAACTTCCAAACCGAAACCCTAGAAGCCGCATGGTTGGGCAACATCGACCATACAACAACCATATGCGGCCAGTTGCCACATAAAACATGTATCCGATATATGCTTATAAATTATATTCATGGTTCCATCTTTTTAATTGAGACATAAACCAAATTTTCATCCAATCTATATAGAAAAATAGAAAATAGAAAATAAAAAATATATTTCTTTTAATTCATATTCTTTACAATAGCCTAAAACTAAAAAATTCTTGAACTTAAAAAGAGAAATAGCAAAAAAAATTGATCTTCTTGGTGAATTTTAGAGTTGAAATTTTATTTGGTTAATTGTTGACACGGTTTAATTTCTTACCAATTTTGGGTGGATAATTTTTTGACGTTCTTTATACTTAGTTTAAACTAGTCTTGGGAGTTTTACCCGAATCTGACGGATCCGAACCGACCCGACCCGAAAAATCTGGTTCGGATTCGGTTATCACTAATAACCCGATTGGGTCTTCAATATTTTTGATTCGGTTTTCAGTTCGGTTCGGGTTAAATCCGATAACCGATCGGGTACCCGAACAAAAGTACAAAATTGATATTTTGATTTTTAAATTAATTAAAAGAAACTGTCGCCTCAAAAATTTTCGATTCTCCCCACCTCCTCTAACCTTCTTCCTTCTTCTCCACCTCTTTCTTTCCCTCACCTCTGTTAAGAGAGAGTTGCTGATTTTTGTCCTCTTTGTTTTCCTCGACTGCTGGTTTTTCTGGGCATTCGGCTTCTTCGTTTGCCAAATCCATCTTACGGTTGCCAGATTCGTCTCTGCAGCTTTTGATCTCTTTACTTCTTAATCCAGCTCTTTTGTCACTGAAATCTGTGTTTCTGATTCAACGTTGGTGGTAAGAAGTAGAACTATGTTCACACATAATAAAAGCTTTATAATCTTCGATTGGTTTGATTTTAATTGTTCTGTTGTGTTTTTTCAATTTTTTTTGGTTTTGGATTAGGGTCTATTCGGCGTCGGTGATGATAAGTTGATAACATATCTGAGGCTAATGTTTGTTTTTATTTTCACATTTATTTCGGATTAATTGGGTTTAAAGCGGTTCTTTCGGGTTTAAAGCGGTTTTCGGGTTTAAAGCGGTTTTTTAAGTTCAAAGCAGTTTTTTTGGGTTTAAGATGGTTTTTCGGGTTTGATTTAAAATTTTCGGATCCATTTCGGGTTCTATTTAATTTACAAAACCCGACTCGACCCAAATACTACCCGAACCGATCTGAACCGAAATATGTTCGAGTCCAAAACGGGTCCTATATCCATCTACCTGAACTATCTGATACCCGAACTACCCGACCCGGCCCGACCTAAATGCCCAGGACTAGTTTAAACCATCTAACTCAACCAATCGACATGCTTAGAATTTCTTTATATATATATATAAAAAAAAAGAGAGATTTAATGGTTTGGTTCACACAAAAATAGTGAACATTGTTGACCGGCGTAGGCTATAAAATCTGAGACCCTTTTTTTTTATTGAACTTTCAAAATCTAAGACTTCTCTTTTTCTTAAATTTTAATTCAGTTAGAGAAATGAATAATATTTATCATAATTGAGGCGGACGTTTAGGTAAGGAGATGAACAAAGGTTATCGGAAAACTCACAAGAAAATACATAGTTGACCAACGTTGACTTGGTTTAGGAGTTGACATAAGACTTAAAGCTTCGGTTTTACTTTTCTATAATGTACATAATTAAAGTAAAACACGATCACCATCACGCATAAGAAGTTTGAATCAGTCAAGTTAAGTGTTGTTTAAGGTAGACTTAATTATCAGAAAGTTACTGACCGGAACCGGAGTTGACATGGCTGATTCGAGACTTACCGGAGTTGACGAAGACTACTCCGAGACTTCCAAACAAAATTTCTATCTTTGATTGTGTTCTTGATCTTGGATTGGTACCATTGAAAACCATTTCACCACATGGAACATTACTAAAATCCTATTCTCTTACTTGCATTATTAAAAGTTATTACACGACCCAAGCAAGATCCACAATTATATATATCACACCAGTTTTGGGACTCCGCTCACAGTACATTCTCCTTGTGAAGCCTCATCATCATCGCTTGCGACTAACCC